TCGAGTTGAAGTTTTGATCGAGAACGACTCATTGGGACCGCCGCCAAATCAAGTGCGTTCGGACTAGGACATTCAAACTCGCAGTTATCGTTCAAAAGATAATGATGGTGCGAAATATGTCTGGGTTTTTAAAGAAAATGCTTTGTCACAGAATAATAGTCTGTTAAAGGTGCCAAGTATGAAATAATTTGAGGACAAAAAAACAAACCTGCATAGAAATCGGAATAATAGGTCTTTTGATTATCGGAGACGCATTTCAATGGACTTGATTACGGACAATGCATGACGTAAATTTCACCAGGAAATTCCGCAGTGTGCTCTCACAATCGCGGACTTAGTCATTTTTACAAGGTTCGCCATTTTTGATGTCACGTGATAATTATGTAAACAATGTCTGTCCAGTTTGTGCGAACTTGCACCTCTATACTTAGTCTTTTGATATATATAACCTAAATTACTGTTCTGAACGAGACAACAGATAGAGAATGTTTTATTTAAAAACGTCACAAAACCTTCTCGCTACCTTAAGATGGGCGCTGGCCGACATTACATTTGCAAGTATTGTATTTGTTTGACAAATTGTACACTACGGTCATTTTATAACAATCGATCAGTCGTTTTTTTCACAGTCTTACTATTCCTGCAGATATTCTTCAATTGTTATAGGTGCCACGGATTTTAACATAACTACAACTAGACTCGTGTTAAACCCAAACCATGCGTACATGACAACCGTCACCCTACACACGAATACCGTAGACATTTTTCGCTCTCCACCAAAAATAGAATGGTTTTATTTCATATTAGTTGTGTCTGTGTCAGTGTCGTATTTGATTTCACATGTTTGGTTCGATCTTGTTTATGGTGGACATTATTATTACGCGTATGTATTATTACCAATTGTATATGGCCGTGTGATCCACCGTATTTTTTCAACGGTCATTCTATAAATTTCTGTTTGTATTTATTCTTATTTTAACATCATAAAAACAAAAGTGACACACTTGTACATGAAACAGTAGGTAATGAACTGTAAATGCGGGCGATTGCGCTGTCAGGCGAGTGAGCGAGCGAGCGATTGCGCGAGCGGATACTTCCGGATTTGCGCGGTTGAAAAAAAAAGCGGAAATTGTGCGGTCGAATTGAACAAAGCGAGCGAAAAAAAAAAGATCGAAATCCGGAAGCGGGCGGGAGGTTGGGCGAAATGAGTACTGTACCTAATTAGTATGCATTTCGAGAAACCACAGTGTGTGTGCATGCGCAGTTTGAAACGGAACAGATTTGAAATCACGCGTGGAACTCGGGCTCCAGCAAGAAATTGTGCTGTCAAACTGGTTTTGGAACCTGTATTTGTCTATGAAATGTTTCTAAGTTTTGTTGAGGATTATTCTGTAAGGAAATTGCTGAAATTATTTCATCTGTTCGTAAACGGGACGTTGTTGTTTTGACGATGGGCTACGGACGACTGACGTCGAAAAGTTCGAAAAGTTTCAGATCGGATGGCGCCCTCTCGTGCCACCCCCCCTGAGTTCAGCCATGTTAGCAATATGGCTTCAAAAACAGCATTCGATAAAAACAAAATATGCCATCAGTGAGTCATTTCGAATAAAATCTGGGTGGAAAAAAAGATGTCTGTCAAGGATCCATTTTGTTTAATGGGCATGTAGAGTTTGAATGAAATATGTCCATGCATGATGCAGTTCCGAGATGGCAGGAATCCTTGATTTTGATGATTTTTTTAGCACTTATATGGCCACCATTCAGCCATCTTGAATTGGATCATGACATAAATGCTTGTGCTTATATAAGATGTGATGTTTGCTGTATGTGTCAAGTGTGTGATTTGTCAGGGAATGACCCTGGAACTGAATTTGCCAAAACAGTGTTCAGTGTTAATGATACCCAAAGGATTATGATTGTTTAGTGTTAATACATCATCGGTTGTTTTTTCAGTAGAGACTTTAAGCAGGTGATATGTGAAGACAGTATTCAATGCTAATCAGGATGACAAATTTTGATGATTGGATTCAGTGTTGTTCAATGTTAATAAATTGTTTAGTACATGTTTGTATATGTATGACAACACAGGTTGAAAATAGTGATTAGCCACAATAACAGTTCATGCATAAAAACATTGTATAATCTATAAATCAAACAGTTATTATTTTCAAACGTTGCTATATCAATCTCACATTGTGCACTTGGCCAATATTTCATATGACCCCCATAATTTACAAGAACGTTGAAAACAATACAAAACTATGCAATATATCATATCAAATTGTAGCTAAAATTAATACCTTCTAATTCTAACTTAGCAGCACCATCAGCTGTGGAAAGTTCAACACCTTTTTCCGCAGTGCTCTCTGATCTACATGATTTACCTTCTACATTCAATACAGTCTTCTGAGATTGAGCTGTCAATGACAAAACATTTATTTTAACTATTTCACCACCAGATTTTCTCACCAAAATTTGTCTGCACTTTTTTCTTATATTCTTCAATACTGGAAATGAACACTAATTTTGGAGCCAAAAGACAAAATTTGAGTCAATTATTAGTTTACCTTTTAATTATCTTTCAAAGGAAAATGCAAACTATTATGCAGAACTATTTTGTGAATTTGCGATGAAAAGGGGAAACTGGTGGTAAATGAACATTTTATTTAGTTTAAGATTTTATCACCAATTGATAGTTGATAATTGCAAATTTTGTTAAAAAGTTGTTTTTAAAATAACTAAAAAATAGAATAATCTGTCATTAGTTATATACCGGTACACATAGTTCTTACTAGTATATTTTACGTTTAGAAAAAAAACAAAAACTAAAAGTCTAGAAAAAGCCCCCTATATTACCCGGTAGTAGATTGCCCCCTAGCTAACTGTAAAATGATAAACTAACTGCTTACAAAATGTTTCACTTACTTGTGGTTTTCTGACTATGTGTAAGATAATAAGAGTCTACTTGTTCTGTATTTGACTTGTATTTCTCCTTCACTCTGTCTTTCGTCTCATGTTCATCACTATGTGTTAAATAGTATGAATCTACTTCCTCTGTATTTGATTTATATTTTTCTTTCAATTTTTCTCTTTTCTTAATTTTTTCTGAAAACATATATGGAACGCATATAATTGGTGGAGCAAGTGGGATTGTGTGAAAGTGACAGAGTTGATGAGTGCTGGAATATATAATTAGTATAAATCTGTTGCAGCCTATATGCTGGGAGATTTATAATATAATTATTTCACTGAATAACAGCATACCATTATTACAGAAGTCAGGTCAAAGGTGACAACTATTTCAAAATTAGGCGGAGAGTTCTCCGAACCTGCCTATTCACATAGTTCATACCCACCATAGACTCTGGTCAGTCAAAATGACTATTTTGAACTGTAGGCATTAATTAGCAATTCTGCCAATGACGGAGAGATAAAATCTAGGTCAGGGGAAGACCCTTGACCCCAAGATTTGTTTCCCTTACGTCACTAACCACGTGACCGAGGTACCGGTAATGTGGCAGCGCCATCACACCATGACATTCACTCTGATTCCTTTCTCTCCTTACAGAGGACTAACGCTACGGAAAGAATGGGGTGGCTGGGGGAGGAACCCTGAGTCTATGGTGGGTATGAACTATGTGAATAGGCA